TGCGCCTTGAAGGTCCGCTGGGGCCGATGTCACCCTGGGGCCGAAAAAGGAACAAGACAAAATTACCCGTGGGGCCACAGGATGGCCTCGAAATGCCATGGCGCGACGCGTTTGCGCTTGCGCTCTCTGGCTTCGGCACGGTTCTTTCGAATGCGCTCAAGCTGCTCAGGCGTGAGCTGAGCGAGCGGAGGAGGAGGAGGAGGGGAGAAGACGACTAAGGTAGCCGAGCCAGGGGCGGGGCAGTCCGCACCCAACTCTTGGGCGGCCTCCTCGTCCGCCTCGACGTCGTAGGCCGACTCCTGCGGCCGAGGATCCTCTTGGGCCACGGACGGAGGAACCTCGGGAGGCAAGGCGGGGGCACCAGGGACCAGGAGAGGGGCAAAGGCGGAGGGAGGGGAGTCAGGAGGGTCCCAACGCCACCTTTCAGGTCAACTTTACGTTTAACCCTGAGGCTGCCGGCATAGTCGGGAGCCTCCCAGAACTGTTCGTGGTCCGACCAAGGTACATAAAATTTACGTAGGACAGCATCGTCGAAATCCGTAGTGGCTGGCATCTCAGGAGGATCTCCTGCCTCCGAGTTAAATGCAGTGTTGATGGCGTCCCACATGGCCGTAGCGATAGCACTGCACATGGACGGTGGGTACGTCTTCTTGCAACTCGTTTTGAAAGTGCCGTCGTCATTCTTGCCCACAAGGGACAGGTGAACATCCTTCCCGTGGTTGCAGAAACCATTGTTTCGAGCTTTCAGCAAACTGTAGAGTCGTGGTAGCCGTAGGGCCAGGATGCGCGTAGCCCCTCTGCCGTGCTCCTTAGGATTCCCGTCGCGATGCATACACTGATCAAACTGGATAGTACTGACAAGCGGGCAGCTCTGCAAAGCACGCATAGGCATCCACTGGAAGCTGGAAGGCGCTTGTGGGCGCCAGAGAGCTGGAGGTGGATGTTCTATCCACCCGCACGTGCCTGCTCGGATATGCTCCGCAAGCAGTTGGGCAATTGTAAACAGTAGGAGATTGCCCGTACGTACCTGCATGTGTTGCGCCTCCGTACACCACGGCACTCCCCACATGTATGATTGTGTACGCACAGGGGGGGGGCCCCGTCGTTCCAGCGAGCAGCACTCCAAGTCTCGCATGGTGGCCCCCCCCCCCTGTAACCCAGACCCTATGGTGACGTATATGCTCTGACCATTCTTGTATCGTGGCCTCCCGAGTCAGATCTCCCCAGATGTGATCGATTGCAATGTCCAAGGACAGTGTGGTGACCTGGATGTCAGATGTGGCCTGGAGGTCGGATAGATGCCATTGTATGTCGCCTTGTCGGCGCCGACCACAGAAGAGGTTCAATATGAATACTTCAGGTCGTCGCAACCTGTACGGCACAGCCATAGTAGATATGCCACAGTAGTCGTTAGGTCGGAAAATATAATACCGATCCTCGAACTGGGCCCGTGGTGGTTCTGACGCAGGGGCCCCTCGGGAGTCGTACCAAGCACGAAGTAGGATCGGTAGGACCTCTATGGGGAACTCGTAGTGGGTCTCTTGCAGGACTTGGCGGGCCTCCGTCTCCGTGAGATGCGAGAAAACCCAAGCAGACTCCCAAAGACATTCCTTGGTGCCCAGGGTGGCAGGGTATGCCGTACGCCAGCGCCCCAGACCGTCCTTCCTCCTCTTAGCACACAGCATCCTATCCTCCTCAGCGGCCAGTACCGCCTCCTCATGTTCCAACTGCGGACCTCTGCACATGTACGCTAGACAACATCGAGCCGAGTCGTATGCAAGATGATCGCGTAGCTGCCTTCTCGAGGCGAAGTCCGGAGGAGGGAGGGAAGAGGGAGGAAGGAGGAGGGAGGATGGAGGGTGGCTGCTGCTGCTGCTGATGCTGCTGATGATGATGATGGTGATGGTAATGGCGATGGTGATGCTAATGATGCTGCTGATGATGATGATTCATGATGCCGGCGACGACGACGACGATGACGATGATGATGATGCTGATGATGATGATGATGATGATGATGATGATGATGATGATGATGAACATGATGCTGCTCATGATGATGATGCTGATGATGATGCTGCTGATGATGATGTTGCTGATGCTTATAATGGTGATGATGCTGGCGACGATGATGATGATGATGATGATGATGATGATGCTGATGATGATGCTGATGATGCTGCTGCTCCTGATGGTGATGATGGTCATGATGATGATGGTGGTGACGACGATGCTGATGTTGATGATGGTCATGGTGCTGATGCTATTCATGACGATTAGGATGATGATGGGGATGTTGATGCTGGTGATGGTGAGTCTGATGCTGCTGGTGCTGCTGCTGGTGATGACGATGATGATGATGACGGTGATGATGGGGATTCTGATGATGGTGATGATGATGACGATGATGATGAAGATGACGCTGATGATGATGCTGATGCTGATGCTGATGCGGATGATACTGCTGCTGTTGATGGTGATGATGCTGATGATGATGCTG